TTTGTGGCTGTTAAAGGCAAAAGGTTGGGTCAAAAAGATCGCGAATTATGTTAAAACGAATGTCTCTTAAGAAAGCCTTGAAAAATAAAAAGTAGATGACCGTTTCGTGCTTTGCCCAGCCGGACTTTTACCGGACATTATACAAATGTCCGGAATATATAACCGTTTTGGAAGCATTGCTGTATACCCCCTCCACATATCCTATATCTGTATACCCCATCCACACCCTCCTTTATCTGTATACCCCATCCACATATCCTATATCTGTTTACCCAATCCACATCCTCCTATATCTGTATACCCCATCCACACCCTCCTTTATCTGTATACCCCATCCACATATCCTATATCTGTATACCCAATCCACATCCTCATATCTGTATACCACATCCTCATATCTGTATACCCCATCCACACCCTCCCATGTCTGTATACTCCCTCCACATATTCTATATCTGTATACCCCATCCGCACCCTCCTATATCTGTATACCCCCTCCACTCCCTCCTATATCTGCATACCTCCTCCACATATCCTATATCTGTATACCCCGTCAACATATCCTATATATGTATACCCAATCCACACCCTCCTATATCTGTATACTCCATCTACACACTTCTATATATGTATACCCCTTCCACACCCTCCTATATATGTATTCCCCTTCCACACCCTCCTATATCTGTATACCCCATCCACACCCTCCTATATTTTTATACCCCATCGGCACTCTCCTATATCTGTATACCCCATCCACACCCTCCTATATCTGCATACCTCCTCCACATATCCTATATCTGTATACCCCGTCAACATATCCTATATATATATACCCCATCCACACCCTCCTATATCTGTATACCCCATCCACACCCTCCTATATCTGTATACCCCTTCCACATCCTCCTATATCTGTATAACCCATCCACACTCTCCTATGTCTGTATACTCCATCCGCACCCTCCTATATCTGTATACCCCATCAACACCCTCCTATATCTGTACACCCCTTCCACATCCTCCTATATCTGTATAACCCATCCACACTCTCCTGTGTCTGTATACTCCATCCACACCCTCCTATATCTGTATACCCCATCCACACTCTCCTATATCTGTATACCCCATCCACACCCTCCTATATCTGTATACCCCATCCACACCCTCTTATATCTGTATACCCCATCCACACTCTCCTATGTCTGCATACCCCATCCACACTCTCTTATATCTGTACACTCCATCCACATCCTCCTATGTCTGTATACCCCATCCACACCCTCCTATATCTGTATACCAATCCACACTCCTTTATCTGTATACCCCATCCTCCCCCTCCTTTATCTGTACACCTCCTCCACAACCTCCTATATCCGTATACCCCATCCACACTCTCCTATATCTTTTAAACCCATCCACACCCTCCTATATCTGTATACCCCTCCACACCCTCCTATATCTGTATACCCCATTCACACCCTCCTGTATCTGTATACCCGATCTACACCCTCCTGTATCTGTATACCGGATCTACACCCTCCTATATCTGTATACCCCCTCCATACTTTCCTATATCTGTATACCCCATCTTCCCCCTCCTTTATCTGTACACCTTCACACCCTTCTATGTCCGTATACCCCATCCACACTCCCAGGGGTTAAAAAATCCACTGGCCCGACGCCCGGGATTTCAGCATTTTGGCCTTGGGCAATCAAAATTTGTAACCCAATACGCCTGACGGACTAGTACCAAAAAATTCTTGGCGTTTCCAAAATAGAAAGTGGAAAATCCCCTCATTATTATTCTATCTTAGCCAATCAGATTCAATTACGGCATCCAGGATTCCAAAAATTAGAACTGATTTGTACATGTTTTAAAAATAGAACAAATAACTCTGGGTGGACCCGTATCATGTATTGATCGCCATTCCCGTACTTTCAAAATATATCAATTTGTCAGTACAAGGGGTATTGTCATTGCTTATGCAACCAGAGAAATATAATTTAAACTGAATGTACCTCCTTTTGAATAATTTATTGCACTATACATCAGAATCCCTTTTGACAAGAGAAACCTGACTTTTGTCAGATATAAATTTGTAACATGTGCATGACCACATGTTATGGACGCCATTTTGATTCGTTTACATACTGGAAGAAGCCTTTAGAACCATGACCTAAACATTTAAAGTCTTCAGAAAACTTGAACTTGATGCAATAATATTTTATCAGTCATGACAATCTTCATTAATATTCAAATAAATTTGATTATTTAAAGAAATAAAATATATTATTACAAATAAGATTTCAGTTTAGAGATTATACACAGAGCATGCTGTAATCAATTTATAGCCCAATTAGCTTACCTGGGATAAATGTAAATATGGATATCATTTTTTTTATAAAACAAATATCAAAGACACAAACTATGGATGGTAGATACTGATTCACATAAAATTATAAATATTTGAGGACATTTTATTTATCTAAATAGATATAGAATTTAAAAACTGAAAACAATATAAGCAGCTGATAATTTTTTTACACAAACGTGATGATGTATCTGATTAAAATCACTCCAACCCTTTTTTATATACATATATAGCAGTGGTCGAGGCTTGTTACATTTCAGGATTAGGTCAACTCATTATTGCAGAATATTGAATATACATTTATCGTCTTTGAATTTAATATATATATATCGGGTAATGGGATATTTTTTGCTGACATAAATTTTTTATCAAACTCTGAAGTTTTAAGGCATACTCGGGCTAGCAGGTCAGTTTTCATGGGCTAGCAGTTCTTCCAACAGGGCTAGTAAAATCCTGCTACCAATAAGTTCTGGACTAGTGAGCTGTAACAAAAAAATTTAACCCCTGACTCCCCTATATCTGTTTACCCCATCAAAACCCCCTTATATCTGTATACCCCCTCCACATCCTCCTATATCCGTATACCCCCTCCACACCCTCCTATATTTGTATACCTCATCCACACCCTCCTATATCTGTATAACACATCCACACCCTCCTATATCTGCATACCTCTTCCACAACCTCCTATATCTGTATACCCCATCCACACCCTCCTATATCTGCATACCTCCTCCACATATCCTATATCTGTATACCCCATTCACACCATCCTATATCTGTATACCCTATCCACACTCTCCTATATGTGTTTACCCAATCCACACCCTCCTATATCTGTATACTCCATCCACACCCTCCTATATCTGTATACCCCATCCCCACCCCTCCTATATCTGTATACCTCATTCACACCCTCCTATATCTGTTTACCCAATCCACAGCCTCCTATACCTGTATACCCTTGTAGATGATAGTTAAGGCAATGTGTACTACAACGACTGTTCAGCCATTACATTTAATATACAAGTACATATTTCTGCCAAAGGCAACGTCATTGACAATACGACGTCGCCTATGAGTAAGTACAATAGTTGGAACGTTATGTTCCCGTTATAATCTCAACAACCCTATCCACACTCTCCCATGTCTGTATACTCCATCCACACCCTCCTATGTCTGTATACCCCATCAACACCCTCCTATATATGTACACCCAATCCACACCCTCTTATATCTGTATACCCAATCCACACTCTCCTATGTCTGCATACCCCATCCACACTCTCCTATATCTGTATACTCCATCCACACCCTCCTATGTCTGTATACCCCGTCCACACCCTCCTATATCTGTATACCCAATCCACACTCTCCTTTATCTGTATACCCTATCCTCCCCCTCCTTTATCTGTACACCTCCTCCACAACCTCCTATGTCTGTATACCCCATCCACACTATCCTATATCTGTTTACCCCATCCACACCCTCCGACATCTGTATACCCCTCCACACCCTTCTATATCTGTATACCCCATCCACACCCTCCTATATCTGTATATCCCCTCCATACGTTCCTATATCTGTATACCCCATCCTCCCCTCCTTTATCTATACACCTCCTCCACACCCTCCTATGTCTGTATACCCCATCCACACTCTCATATATCTGTTTACCCCACCCAAACCCCCTTATATCTGAATACCCCCTCCACATCCTCCTATATCCATATACCCCCTCCACACCCTCCTATATCTGTAAACCTCATCCACACCTTCCTATATCTGTATAACACATCCACACCCTCTTATATCTGCATACCTCCTCCTCAACCTCATATATCTGTATACCCCATCCACACCCTCCTACATCTCCATGCCTCCTCAACATATCCTATATCTGTTTACCCCATCCCCACCCCTCCTATATCTGTATACCCTGCCACACCCTCCTATATGTGTTTACCCAATCCACAGCCTCCTTTATCTGTATAACCCATCCACACCCTCCTTTATCTGTATAACCCATCCACACCCTCTTATATTGTAAACCGCATCCACACCCTCCTATATCTGTATCCTATATCTGTTTATCCCATCCACACCCTCCTATATCTGTACACCCCATCCACACCCTCCTATATCTGTATACCCCATCCACAACCTCTTATATCTGTATACCCCATCTATACCCTCCTATATCTGTATACCCCATCTTTACCCTCCTATATCTGTATACCCCATTCACACCCACCTATATCTGTAAACCACATCCACACCCTCCTATTTCTGTATACCCCTTCCACACCCACCTATTTCTATATACCCCATCCACATCCACCTATAACTGTATACCCCATCCACACCCTTCTATCTCTGTATACCCAATCCACACTTTCCTATATCTGTACACCCCATCTATACCCTCTTATATATGTATACCCCATCCACACCCTCCTATATCTATATACCCCATCCACACCCTCTTATAAAACTTTCATATTTTAAGATCAATCACACTTTAGCCTTGAAAAAGAATCAATTTGACCAAACATATATTATACATCATTTTAGTGATTCATTACTTAATAGTTGAACACTGGTCATATACTATAAAATATTACCTTAGGTGTTTTAACCAAGGGACTGGCACCTCCTTCTACTAGACATCTTGTGATCTGTAGACGTCCCCTCTGAGCAGCTATATGTAAAGCTGTGTATCCATCTATCTATAATATAACCAAATAACATGTAAATATTATGGACAATACTTTGTTATCAATATCAATAATATGCAACATATCCTACAACTGACATTAAAACTGGTCTGATAAACTGGACAATGTTGTGTAATTAATATAAACAAAATATATATCACATGAATCAGTGGTCAAAACTCAATAAAATGACCAGTCACACTTGTATTTATATTCTATATAAACAATAAATAAACATGTTTTGTTGTGAAATGTCAAAACTTCCATTAAACCTGATATCTTAAAAAAAAATTTTTTTTCAAGAAATGTGTAAAATAATTATATCAATGGATTCAGTAGAACAAAACAAGTAAAATGAGACCCCACTTTATATGATTCTTACAAATATTTGTTCATTAAAACTGTCTAATTAACATCAGGATTTAGTGTTGATTCAGTATAATCATTCATTTTAATAAAATAATTTTTTTAAAGAAACATGAAAAGGAGTTATAATTTCTGATTCAGAACAATAATATGAGTAAAATGAGACCCCACTTGATATAATTATTACAAATATTTGTTCATTAAAACTGTCTGATTAACAACATGATTTTGTGTTAATAGTAATGTGATCAGACTAAGTAGATAACATACTTCTGTGGTGTCGATCTTACATCCTGTATCAATGAGAAGTCTACAGACCTCCAGGTGTCCTCTACTGGCAGCCAACATTAATGCTGTCCATCCTCTACCCTGGAATAATACAACTGACATCAGAACTTGTCTGATAAACTGGACAATGTTGTGTAATAAATATAAACAAAATATATATCACATGAATCAGTGGTTAAAACTCAATAAAATGACCAGTCACACTTGTATTTATATTCTATATAAACAATAAATAAACATGTTTTGTTGTGAAATGTCAAAACTTCCATTAAACCTGATATCTTAAAAAAAAAAAAAAAATTCAAGAAATGTATAAAATAATTATATCAATGGATTCAATAGAACAAAACAAGTAAAATGAGACCCCACTTTATATGATTCTTACAAATATTTGTTCATTAAAACTGTCTAATTAACATCAGGATTTAGTGTTGATTCAGTATAATCATTCATTTTAATAAAATAATTTTTTTAAAGAAACATGAAAAGGAGTTATATTTTCTGATTCAGAACAATAATATGAGTAAAATGAGACCCCACTTGATATAATTATTACAAATATTTGTTCATTAAACCTGTCTGATTAACAACATGATTTTGTGTTGATTAATAGTAATGTGATCAGACTAAGTAGATAACATACTGATGTTGTGTCGATCTTAAATCCTGTATCAATGAGAAGTCTACAGACCTCCAGGTGTCCTCCCCCGGCAGCCATCATTAATGCTGTCTGTCCTCTAACCTGGAATAATACAACTGACATCAAAACTTGTCTGATAAACTGGACAATGTTGTGTAATAAATATAAACAAAATATATATCACATGAATCAGTGGTCAAAACTCAATACAATGACCAGTCACACTTTTATTTATATTCTATATAAACAATAAATAAACATGTTTTGTTGTGAAATGTCAAAACTTCCATTAAACCTGATATCTTAAAAAAAAATTTTTTTCAAGAAATGTGTAAAATAATTATATCAATGGATTCAGTAGAACAAAACAAGTAAAATGAGATCCCACTTTATATGATTCTTACACATATTTATTCATTAAAACTGTCTAATTAACATCAGGATTTAGTGTAGATTCAGTATAATCATTCATTTTAATAAAATAATTTTTTTAAAGAAACATGAAAAGGAGAAATATTTTCTGATTCAGAACAATAATATGAGTAAAATGAGACCCCACTTGATATAATTATTACAAATATTTGTTCATTAAAACTGTCTAATTAACATCAGGATTAAGTGTAGATTCAGTATAATCATTCATTTTAATAAAATAATTTTTTTAAAGAAACATGAAAAGGAGAAATATTTTCTGATTCAAAACAATAATATGAGTAAAATGAGACCCCACTTGATATAATTATTACAAATATTTGTTCATTAAAACTGTCTAATTAACAACAGGATTTAGTGTAGATTCAGTATAATCATTCATTTTAATAAAATAATTTTTTTAAAGAAACATAAAAAAGTTATATTTTCTGATTCAGAACAATAATATGAGTAAAATGAGACCCCACTTGATATAATTATTACAAATATTTGTTCATTAAAACTGTCTAATTAACAACAGGATTTAGTGTAGATTCAGTATAATCATTCATTTTAATAAAATAATTTTTTTAAAGAAACATAAAAAAGTTATATTTTCTGATTCAGAACAATAATATGAGTAAAATGAGACCCCACTTGATATAATTATTACAAATATTTGTTCATTAAAACTGTCTAATTAACAACAGGATTTAGTGTAGATTCAGTATAATCATTCATTTTAAATAAAATAATTTTTTAAAAGAAACATAAAAGAAGATATATATTTTGATATAATTATTACAAATATTTGTTCAATAAACTTGTACTTATATTTTACATAAACAACAAATAAACAACATGTTTTTTGTGAGATGTCAAAACTTCCATCAGAACTGTCATTTTAATAAAAAAAAAATTTGTAAGAAATCAATAAAATATTTACATCAATGGATTCATTACAACTCTCTGAGTAAAATGACATCTCACTTTATATAATCCTAACAAGTATTTGTTGATATAATGATTAAATCTCTGAGTAAAATGACATCTCACTTTATATAATCCTAACAAGTATTTGTTGATATAATGATTAAATCTCTGAGTAAAATGACATCTCACTTTATATAATCCTAACAAGTATTTGTTGATATAATGATTAAATCTCTGAGTAAAATGACATCTCACTTTATATAATCCTAACAAGTATTTGTTGATATAATGATTAAATCTGTCTGATTAACATGATTCAGAATAATGATCAATTTTTTAAAAAGTAACTTTTTCAAAGAAATATGAAAACAAGTTACATTTCCTGATTTAGTACGAGGAGACAAACAAAATGAGACCCCACTTTATACAATTCTTACAAATATTTGTTGTCCATTTAACCAGTCTAATTAACAACATAATTTTGTGTTGATTAAGGAATGTGATCAGAGAGTGAAGAGACAACATACATGTGTGATATTTGTTTCACACCCACTGTAAAACCTTGGTGTAAAAAATGTTCTTGTAAATATTCAAAGTAAGAACTTTATCAACTATAATTCAAAACAAACAAAAACAATTTTTTTCTCACTAAAACTGTTAAATTAAAAACAGATTTTGATTTAATATCAAATTCAGTATAATGATATAGATATCAGTTTCCATACAGATATATTATTATTATATGTTCTGAAGTAACTTGTAGTGTGTGTTTTATACTGCTAATGTACAATCTGTTATGTTCTGAAGTAACTTGTAGTTGTGTGTTTTATACTGCTTATGTACAATCTGTTATGTTCTGAAGTAACTTGTAGTGTGTGTTTTATACTGCTGATGTACAATCTGTTCTGTTCTGAAGTAACTTGTAGTTGTGTGTTTTATACTGCTTATGTACAATCTGTTATGTTCTGAAGTGACTTGTAGTTGTGTGTTATATACTGCTTATGTACAATCTGTTATGTTCTGAAGTAACTTGTAGTGTGTGTTTTATACTGCTGATGTACAATCTGTTATGTTCTGAAGTAACTTGTAGTTGTGTGTTTTATACTCCTTATGTACAATCTGTTATGTTCTGAAGTAACTTGTAGTTGTGTGTTTTATACTACTTATGTACAATCTGTTATGTTCTGAAGTAACTTGTAGTTGTGTGTTTTATACTGCTTATGTACAATCTGTTATGTTCTGAAGTAACTTGTAGTTGTGTGTTTTATACTACTTATGTACAATCTGTTATGTTCTGAAGTAACTTGTAGTTGTGTGTTTTATACTACTTATGTACAATCTGTTATGTTCTGAAGTAACTTGTAGTTGTGTGTTTTATACTGCTTATGTACAATCTGTTATGTTCTGAAGTAACTTGTAGTTGTGTGTTTTATACTAGTGTGTGTTTTATACTGCTTATGTACAATCTGTTATGTTCTGAAGTAACTTGTAGTTGTGTGTTTTATACTCCTTATGTACAATCTGTTATGTTCTGAAGTAACTTGTAGTTGTGTGTTTTATACTAGTGTGTGTTTTATACTGCTTATGTACAATCTGTTATGTTCTGAAGTAACTTGTAGTTGTGTGTTTTATACTCCTTATGTACAATCTGTTATGTTCTGAAGTAACTTGTAGTTGTGTGTTTTATACTGCTGATGTATAATCTGTTATGTTCCGAAGTAACTTGCAGTTGTGTGTTTTATACTGCTCATGTACAATCTGTTATTTTCTGAAGTAACTTGTAGTTGTGTGTTTTATACTGCTTATGTACAATCTGTTATGTTCTGAAGTAACTTGTAGTGTGTGTTTTATACTGCTGATGTACAATCTGTTCTGTTCTGAAGTAACTTGTAGTTGTGTGTTTTATACTGCTTATGTACAATCTGTTATGTTCTGAAGTAACTTGTAGTTGTGTGTTTTATACTCCTTATGTACAATCTGTTATGTTCTGAAGTAACTTGTAGTTGTGTGTTTTATACTAGTGTGTGTTTTATACTGCTTATGTACAATCTGTTATGTTCTGAAGTAACTTGTAGTTGTGTGTTTTATACTCCTTATGTACAATCTGTTATGTTCTGAAGTAACTTGTAGTTGTGTGTTTTATACTGCTCATGTATAATCTGTTATGTTCCGAAGTAACTTGCAGTTGTGTGTTTTATACTGCTCATGTACAATCTGTTATTTTCTGAAGTAACTTGTAGTTGTGTGTTTTATACTGCTGATGTACAATCTGTTATGTTCTGAAGTAACTTGTAGTGTGTGTTTTATACTACTGATGTACAATCTGTTATGTTCTGAAGTAACTTGTAGTTGTGTGTTTTATACTGCTCATGTATAATCTGTTATGTTCCGAAGTAACTTGCAGTTGTGTGTTTTATACTGCTCATGTACAATCTGTTATTTTCTGAAGTAACTTGTAGTTGTGTGTTTTATACTGCTGATGTACAATCTGTTATGTTCTGAAGTAACTTGTAGTGTGTGTTTTATACTGCTGATGTACAATCTGTTATGTTCTGAAGTAACTTGTAGTTGTGTGTTTTATACTCCTTATGTACAATCTGTTATGTTCTGAAGTAACTTGTAGTTGTGTGTTTTATACTGCTGATGTATAATCTGTTATGTTCCGAAGTAACTTGCAGTTGTGTGTTTTATACTGCTCATGTACAATCTGTTATGTTCTGAAGTAACTTGTAGTGTGTGTTTTATACTGCTTATGTACAATCTGTTATGTTCTGTAGTAACTTGCAGTTTTGTGTTTTATACTCCTGGTGTACAATCTGTTATGTTCTATATTACATGCAGGTGTGTTTTATACTGCTGGTGTACAATCTGTTATGTTCTGAAGTAACTTAAACTTGTGTATTTTATTCTGCTAATGTACAATCTGTTATGTTCTGAATAACTTGTAGCTGAGTGTTTTATACTGCTTATGTACAATCTGTTATGTTCTGAAGTAATTTGTAGTTGTGTGTTTTATACTGTTTATGTAAAATCTGTTATGTTCTGAAGTAACTTGTAGTTTGTGTTTTATACTGCTCATGTACAATCTGTTATGTTC